ATAAATAAATAAATAAATATATATTGGTGGAATTTACACTGATTTCACAATTCTTGTATTTTCCATGCCCATAAAGACAGTACAGTGTATATGATGCCAGGGTCTGTTGCTGGCTAAGGTAGTAGTCAGGGACCCTTGGATCCTGGCTGTACTAGCCTCTGAGTGACTGGATGGCTGAGGACTGTGAAATAAATCTCAGGAAATGAGTTTACAGGCAGGGTTCCCTGGGGCTCTCTCTTCAAATGAAAGCTTTAAAGCATTGTACCCTTGAGTTTGTGAAGGATGGGGTCTTGCAGATTTTTGGGATCCCCTCAAGGCATCTTTCTTATTGTCCTGATGTAAAGTACTTGGCGATTTTTTTTTTTGCCTCTTTTTAACGTTAATCTTTATAGCAACCAATGTCTCTAGTTCCAAAACTTTACAAGTCCCAACTTTATAGGGACTTCTTTTTTGGTGAAATTCAGAACTCTTAAAATCACTCAGCTCTGCCATTTGTTCTTGATTCTCAGTGTACAGCTGGCTAAAAGCACCCAGTAGTACCTATGCCACACCCTGAACATTGGCCTGCCTTGAAATTTTCTCCACCAGATTAATCACTGTGTTGCCCTTAATCTTAGTCTCCCAGAGCCTCTGGACATGAACAAGATGTACATAGTGTTTTTTTTCCAAAGCATCACACACATGGCCTAGAGTCCAGCTGCCAATGGAGCCCTTATTCCCAACTGAAACCTGGAGCCAGGTCTTAACTATCATTTTTATCAGTGTTCTGGTTTTCTGAGCTCTAACCAGAATCTTTCATCAAGTTCATTTTATAACATTTTAGGGCTTTTTACCTGTCATCTCTAAACATTTCTAAACTCCTCTTGTGAACCTGTTCTAAAGGCTTCTGAATCACATGGTCAAGTAGTCACAGCAGTGACCCCACTTCTGGTAGCAAAATCTTATTTTAGTCACTTATCACTAGAATATAATACCCAACACCCACAGCTTAAAGGAGGTGTTTATTTTGTCTCAAGGTTGTAATCCATGTTGGCTGCAAAAAAGGCAGAAAACAACACAGCAGAGGAGCAGGGGTGAAGGAAAACTGCTCATTTCATGAAAGCCAGGGAGCAGAGAGAAAGAGGAGGAGCTGGGAAGGCAGATAATACCCTTCCAAGTCATATGCCCAGTGACCTGCAACTTTTGACCAGACCCTACCTCTTTACAGCAGCTATAATATCCATTATTAAATCGCCTTTTAATGCCCAGCCTATGAGTACATAAGGCATTTCAGGAATATTCTCAGTCTAAACTATAACAGCTGATACAGTGAAACCATGATTCATGAACTTAATTCTTTCAACATTTCTGGTTGCAAACCAAATTGAATGAGAACCGAATCAAATTTGCCCACAAGATCAATATTGAACCTAAAACCTAACCATTTAATTTGATTCAGTTCTCATCTAACTAGGTTTGAGACTAGAATTATAGAAAGAATTAAGTTCATGAACTGAGGTACCACTGTATAAGGGAATGATACATAGTTATTAAAATGAGTTTTCTAGAGTTACAGATTAACATATTTAAAAGTCTATGACCAACCCTTGGTGAATAAAGTAAGTTGCAAAAGAATGCATATAGGATGGTATTTGTAGAAAAATTTTAAAATATGAAAATTATGATACATTACTTCAGAATTCATAAATATGTAATAAGATCAGAACAGTAGAGATAGGATTGACGTGACCCGTGAGTCATTTTGGT